GCATAATGCAGATTGTTGATAAATCGTCCACCAATCTTGACCCCACATTTCTCCTCATAGAGCCCAGCCTCCCGGATAATCTGTTCTGCATATAGGCTGAAAAGGTATGGAGAGTGAGACAAAATTTTATGATGTTGTGATCCTATGCACAGTAGCTCCAAACCCTGCCCTGTCCTGAGCCAGTCTCACTGTCTCTGACACACCTGTCCCCACTTACCGTATCAATCCATCTCATCTGAGGTCTTCCGCTCCTGTGCTGTCCCTCCACCCTTCCAAGCATGATGTCTGTCCCTCTCCAAGGACTGGTCCCTCCTGGCAGAATGCCCCAAGTATATAAGAGGAGCTTCAAAATCTTTGCTTCCAAGGAGCAATTTAATTTCTATGATTTCTTCTGTTGTTGATTGTCATTGAGTTGACCATGACTCATAGCAACCCTATGAACCAAAGGCCTGAAGCCTTTCTATAACTATTGGCTTTTCTCTAGGTTAATAGAGTTCCCAGAGGCATGTGGTTTAGGAAGTTGATGCCACTCCTGCTTCCAAACTTATCTTAAACTGGGAGCTCCACCAAACTGTCCACCATGGCAGCTGTTGTGGCATTTGACGCCCAATGGCCTAAGGTTCAGCTTCACAGCAAACCCAGATTACCTCAGTAGAGCAAATTGACAAAAGAGTGCTGTATGACTTGGAAGAATGTTCTTCCAAAAGGAAATAACACTAGGCTCTCGGGTCCAACCAACTTAAATACCAGGGCCCTCTATTGTCGTTCTCCAAGTTCATACAGAGGCATGTGGTTTAAGAAGCGGATGCCACTCCTGCTTCCAAACCTGAATCAATCTGGGAGCTCCACCAAACACTGTCCATGATGAGTAGCCAGTTATGGTGTTTGACACACCTATGGTACAGTTGTTCATCATCACAGTAACTCCAAGTTACTTCAGTAGAGCAAATAGACCACTGATGTACTTCCTCTTCTATTAAACAAAAACTCTTGCGTTTTTTTAAACTTATTTTAACATCTGTAATCATGATTGAAAAACATTTCTTTTTAGAAGTAAGAATTCAATATAATAATGTTGATCCCTTGTTTCCTGGGAACTGGGAGGTACTAGTACTTCCACTCTGATTTGACAAAGAAAGTTTATAAGTCTTTGTAACTTTCAGGACTACTGGGATGATGACTAAAGCATTATGATTGGGACAGCGAAATTACAAATACGAACAGGATTATAGGCCCAGGCTTAAAATTACTTTCACAGGAAACAAATTTCTGAAATCCAGATGCCTAACCAGACTTGTTTTACATATATAATAAAAGCACAGGGCAGAATATTATTAACACAAAACAGAACCAGATTTGCCAGAAAAAAACCTTGATAGTCTTATGAAAGTTCCCACTTATACCTTATTATATCATTATCATTATTAAACCACACCTTGTCAGTTATGAACCAGTTTCATGATGCAGGCTGGTAGCAAAGGGGACATTTTGTTTTCTATTTACTGAGATTTATTTTCTCTTAGTTGTTAATTAGGACTTTCATTATCAAGGTTAAAGTCTATTAGTGTCCCATTATTTTAATTTCACTTTGTATGACCTGTTTATCCCATTTTAATTTTATAGACATTTTAAAAAAATGTAATTAAAACAATTTTCCTGTTTAAATAAAGATAGCTTGACACCAGAGAGGGCCTCACTCCTTAGAACAATCGCCCATACAAGCCCTAAATGGCAGTAATTGCTTAGAAAACAAGTTCAGGAGGCAGGAGGGTTAGGACAGAAACTTTGAGACAGAATAAACTTTCTCAGCCCTATGTGTAAGTTTAGTTCCCCCCCAAAGTTCTCTTTCTTAAATTGAGTGAAAACATAAGTATTTTCAAAACTCCATGGTATCTTCTACTATATCTTATTAAAAAGTTCTTTAATTTGTTTGCATGCAGTCATTCATACACATTGTGGTTTTTTTGGGTTTTTTGTGAGAAAAATTCGTGTTTCGAATTAGCCAGCTGGACTCAGTTTAGGTGACCCCAATTTTGTTGGCAACATCCAAAGCATCATAGTCAGGAGCAAGTCAAACATAGGCCTTCTTCTCTCCATCAGGCCTAATCACAGTGTTGACCTTAGCCACATCAATGTCATAGAGCTTCTTTACAGCTTGTTTAATTTGGTGCTTATTGGCCTTGACATCCACAATGAACACAAGTGTG